TGAGAGAGAAAATCGCAAAAGAAAAAAGAGAGTTACAAAAACTAAGCAATGACCTAGCTGTAGCGTCTAGGAACTCAACAAGCAATATCAATGGCAAACTTTAACCAACAATATTCCCAAAAATGTAATATTAAAATACTGGGTTGGCGTGAGCAGCCAAAGGAAAATCTTAAAAGAGACTTTTGCACGATCCTTAAACAAAAAGTTGATCTTGATGTGGACCCTACGGACATCCTTGCAATGCACCGAATCCCCGGAAATCGGAATGGTGGATCGCGACCGGTCATAGTGCGGATGATCAGTACGGAGGCCAAAATAGCCATTATCAAACATCGCAAGGCAATGAAAGACGAATTTGTTATGATGGATCACATCACTCAACTGAACGCAAAACTCATACAGACACTAAAGGATCACGAACTAGTGCATTCCGCCTGGTACTTTAATAGTAAAGTGTTTGCCCTGGACAAAAACAATAGACGCCACACATTTGATATTTTTGATGATATTAACAAAAAACTTAGAGCGTGATTTTTAAGGTTCCATGAAAGTAGCGCACTCAAGACAGTAAATGCATTGGGATCGAGCTCAGTGCTTTGAGATCTCGGGATCGGTATTCCGGAGAACACATTGTTTACGTCCACGGTCCAGCAGTTCTTAACGGGACTAACTTGACACTTTTTGTTTGTTTCTTTTGGTATGTATGTATGTGTGTAAGTTGTGAGATTGTTGCCTACCAAATCAGTATCACCATATTTCAAGATTATGTTTACATATTCTTTTCTCCTTTCTGCGCTGTCACTATACAGTCGTTCATTGACATAAATATCACCGATCAATGAGTCTAAGTGTATTGTCCCTCAATTGTAGAGGGCTTGGTGGAATAGAGACACGGAGAGACGTTCTCAATTACTTAAAACAAAAACAATTCTCTATATATTTTCTCCAAGACACACACTTTACTGAAAATGATATCAACCTTGTTAGATCGTTATGGGGATTTGATGTATATATCAGTCCTGGTAGATCAGATGCCAGAGGAACGGCGATACTTTTTAATAATAACATTGAATATAATGTAACAAATAAATATATAGATGAAGCAGGTAATCTGGTCATTTTAGAGGTCAACCTAGCAAAGAAGTATGATTTTTTATTGGTAAATCTGTATGGACCCAATACAGATCAGCCTGATTTTTATAGTCTGATCAGAGATGAAATTGAGAAATTCCAGGGTGAGTTTGTGTTAATGGGAGGAGATTTTAATTTAATTCAAGACTTTACTCTAGATTGCTATAATTATCGTAACATTAATAACCCTAAAGCAAGAGAGACCCTGCTTAAGTTAAAAGAAACCCAGGACTTATGTGACCCCTGGAGCACTAAATATAATAATTCTAGAAGATACGCTTGGTTTAAAAACAATCCAGTAAAAAAGGCCAGACTTGACTACTTTCTGATATCAAAATAATTAATGACCTTTGTAGATAAGGTTGATATAAAGTCGGGGTACAGAACTGATCACTCAATTATTAAACTTCATATTTTATTTTCAGATTTTAAGATGGGTAAAGGGTTCTGGAAGTTTAATAACTCTCTCTTAAAAGATGAAAATTATATAACTTTAGTTAAAGAAACAAAAATAGGATTAAATTTCAGTATGCAGTGGCACCATATAATCATGCAATGATTAAGGATATTGAAAACACAAAAATTAATTTTACAATTGATGATCAATTATTCCTAGAAATGCTGTTACTTGAGATAAGAGGTACCACTATAAAGTATTGTTCTAGAAAGAAAAAAAAAGAGACAGAGAAGTAAATATTTTAGAAGAAGAAATACAAAAATTAGAAATCATCAGAAATTTTAACAATTCTCAAGAAACTGATGAAAAACTTTCTACTGCAAAATCTAAATTGGAAGAACTTAGAAAACATTATATAAATGGTCTGTTTGTAAGAACAAAAGCTAAATGGGTAGAATATGGTGAGAAACCTACAAAATATTTCTTGAGTCTAGAAAAAAGGAATTATATCAATAAAACAGTAACAAAACTAATTAATGATAATATTTTAGCAATTACCTCGCAACAAGAAATCCTGAAAGAAATTGAAAATGTTTATCTTAATTTATACTCCTCCTGTGATAACACTTTACTAGATATAAATTTAAATAATTTGATACTTAAGGACAATATTCGCATCTTAAATGAGGAGTCGGCTTCCAAATTAGAGGGTCTGATAACCAAGGAAGAAGCATCACTGGCATTGAAAAATATGAAAAATGACAAGAGTCCCGGCAGTGATGGCTTCAACGTAGAGTTCTTTAAATTTTTTTGGAAGGATATTGGAGATTTTATACTTCGATCTATTAACTTTGGTTTCTTGAAAGGAGAATTATCTAAAACACAGAAACAGGGAATTTTGTCTATATTACCAAAAAGGTGAAAAACCAAGGGAATATTTAAAAAAACTGGAGACCTATTTCTCTCCTCAATGTTTCATACAAAATTATATCTGCATGTATTGGAAATAGACTTAAAAGTGTTTTAGATTATTTAATCCATGAGAACCAAAAGGGGTTTTTGAAAGGAAGATTCATAGGAGAAAATACTCGACTTATATACGATGTTCTACATAATACAAAAGAAAAACAAATCCCAGGGATGATGTTACTTATAGATTTTGAGAAAGCTTTTGACACTATTTCCTGGAGATTTATGTACAAGACTTTAGAATTTTTTAACTTCGGTCATGATTTTATAAGATGGATTTCAGTTTTATATAAAAATGCATCATTATGTGTTTTACAAAATGGTATTTTTTCCAGATTTTTTTGCATAGGTAGAGGGTGCCGCCAAGGAGACCCTGTCTCGCCATATATTTTTAATCTGTGTGTTGAGATAATGGGTCACCTTATTAGACAAAATAAAAATATAAAGGGTATAAAAATTGGTAAGGAAAAAGTATGCTTATTACAGTATGCAGACGACACAGTTATATTCTTGGATGGATCAGAAAAAAGTTTGAAGAGTGCATTAGATCTTCTTTTACAGTTTGCTAAATTTTCAGGTTTAAAGCCTAATCTTTCTAAGACTAAAGCCATTTGGATTGGATCAAAAATTAACTGTAATGACAATTTGTGCAAGGAATATAATTTAGAGTGGACATCTGAGACTTTTACAATATTGGGAATAACATTTAATGCCAGTCTGGACAACATTGAAAAGATAAATTTTATTAACAGAATTAATGATATAAACAAAGAAATGAGCCACTGGGAAAAGAGACATATTACACCTCTTGGTAAAATTACAGTTATAAAATCTCTCCTTCTTTCAAAAATTACACATTTATTGTTAACGTTGCCAAAACCATGTGATGAAACTATGAAAAACCTTGAGAAATCTTTTTTTAAGTTTGTATGGAACAATAAAAATGATAAAATAACTCGAAATATAATGATTTTAGATTTTGATGATGGTGGCTTTAGAATGCCACATTTGCCAACATTTATTAAGGCACTTAAGCTTACTTGGATCAGGAGGTTAATACATACAGATTCTACCTGGTCTAGAATATTTATGGAATCTACAGGCTGTAATATTACAAAACTCTACAGTTTGGATCAGAATATGCTTTATATTTTAGTAAAACAACAAATAATATGTTTTGGAAAGAAGTTCTTTCTGATTATAAAGAATTTATTAATTTATTTGAACCTGAAAATATTTTTCAGGTTATGAATGAACCTCTGTGGTTTAACAGTAGTATCAGAGTACAAAATAAGTCTGTTTTTTACAAACAATTATATGCAAAAGGTTTTCATATTGTGTCTGATCTACTGGATACTGAAGGCAAATTGTTATCTTTTAATTGTATATCCATTAATTATGATGTTTTGATCCCATTTACTAATTATGAAGGGCTTAGACTTTCCATTTTGAAAAAATGGCCTGAAGTTAAACAAAATAGAACATCAGTTATTGGAATATCTATTCCTACACATATTCAGTTCCTTTGTCGTGATGGTTCTGGCTGTAAATCATTATACAACTTCTTTCTATCCAAGCGTTATAACCAACCAGTATGTGTAGTAAAATGGACAAGAGATTTAGGGTTGCAGAATGACTTTAACTGGAAAGATCTTTTTACAAATTTGAAATACATAACTAAAGATTCAAACCTCAAATGGTTCAATTATAAGATCATACATAGAATTCTTGGAACTTGTAAATTATTGTTTTTATCTAAAATTAAAGATAACCCACTGTGCTCGGTCTGTAATCTTGAGCAGGAAACTTTGAAGCATCTTTTTTATTACTGTCATCCTGTTAAGGGAATATGGGATTGTTTTGAAGAATGGGTTTTAGAAAAAACTGGAAAAATATATAAACCTAGACCCAATTTCTGTTTTATTAGGTATTTCTGGCAAAGAAAATACAGCTTTAATTGTCATTATCTTGCTTGTTAAACATTATGTATACCAAAAATCTAGAAATTGTAAACCCTTGATATTTGATGAAGTTAAAAATATAATATGTAAATACTATACCTTTGAAAAATATTTGTTTGCAATAAATATGGAGGACATTCAGTTCAAAAAGAGATGGTTATTTTGGTACAATTTATTTGAAAAATAATCAGCTATGTATTACAATTATAAAGAAAAATTGCAGTTTTTTACTTTGTTATTTTTCTTGTAAAGATAGTAAACATTGTAATTTGTAATCATGCATATATATATATATATATATATATATATGGAATTTTATATATATATATATATATATATATATATATATATATATATATATATATATATATATATATATATATATATATATGTAGGTGATACTCTAAGTGAATGAGTGAGAAGAAAGAGTCAGAGAGTGAATGTTAAATAAAAATCTGCAATGTTTATCTATATAAATATACTGCTATATGAATATTGAAAAGCGGAAATAAATAAATTTAAAAAAAAAACTCCAAGCAATGTCATACCTGAAAAAAAAGAAAAAAGATCGCTTTCAAAATAATCAATATTGTATATCAAGGATATACAACCTGTCAATGAGTCAAATGCTGACTGACGTTTTTCATACTGTTTGTTAGGTCATTATTTCTACACTGAACTGTCTAAGGATATTTCCGGTTTTTGTTTCCCGATCATGACAAGGAGCACACGGCGGGTGTGACCGGTCGGCAGGGGATGCTCACTGCTCCATGGCACCTGATCCCACCTCTAAATTTTGAGGTCCGTGTTTGCTCTGCTCCAAATTCGTATCATTTCATTGGACTTTCGAGATTGAATACAGTTCGTTATCTTCATATTTCATTCCATCAAAATTAAATACCAGCTTAAAATTCAGTACATTAAGATGAAGTCATACAAGAAATACTACAGTCTTATTCTTTTATTTGCTGTTTGGACAAAAATACAAAAATGTGTTGCTAACAGTTTTAATTTTTTTATATATATAAAAGATTGTATTGCAACAGTTTATTTACAAACACAATATTTATTTCTGTTAGGTATATGACTGTTCATCGACAACAGCTACTGCGCATATTTGCAATTTGTATCAAGATCTGACAAACGGCAATCTAATATAAATCAGAGCCTGCGATCCAGTTAAATTTTAAATAGATAAGATAAAAGTTTGCTTGTACTTTTATGATTCTATTTTTATGCTTTATAATTAAATTGTATACTTTCTAAACATTATGATGTTTCTTTCGATCGAATGGTTTTATTCCAGTCTAGAATGTTTTCACGGCTTCCTAAATTCATAAAACGACATTATTTAAAGCAACTGAAAAATTGGGAATATAGTGATGGGGGTTTCAGTAAACTTAAGAGTAGACATCCGCAAGTCTTCTTACGCCACTGAATGCAATTTAATGAAACTTTCACAACATAGTACCGTTGTGATCTATCTTACGTTTCGATCGTAGAGATATTTGATTTTTTCCAGTGCAAACATGGACTTCCTTGGTATACTTGGGAGTAGCTATCACTTATCCGCATCTCCTCTTACTCCACTGAATGCAACTGAATGAAATTTACAAAGAATCTTAATTACATTTTGCCATATTGTGCCCTCTATTTTATTTTTCCTTTGGAAAATATGGAGTTTGCTATTCTTTATTTAACATAAAGGTACCCATCTCTTATCTTCAAATCTTTCGATATCACTCAATAAAATTTAATGAGACTTTCACAGAATCTTTATTATATAGTGCCCTTGTGCACCTTCTATTTTATGTTTAAATAAGACCGATATTAGGGGTTTTCCATTGCAAAACATAGACTTTGCCATTAAACTCAATAAAGGGGTACCAGTTTTGCCAACTCCCCATAATCCCCTGAATTAATTTTAATGGAACTTTCACAGACAATGCCAAGAAATGCACTTTGCTATTATACTCATATAGGAGCGGAAGGTATCATTTTGTGAGTCTAGTGCTCATAAAACCTCAAGTTTTAGAACTGAAACAATGCCTTAGATGAATTTTAAGAAGTGTCTTTGTATAGTCGGTATGTTGGGTTATCATCAATCGAAGTTGCAAGACGATTCAATTTTTATCGAAATACCAAACAGTGTTTTTGGAGACAATATCAGAATTTTGGTAACGCTTACATGTAAGATCGTCTAGGAATACAAGTCATCTATATCCCCAGATAATTACATTTGTCTCATATACCCCAGATTTAACCCCGAACGTCAACTCTTAATGCTAGTACAATACCTAGATTAAAACTTATCAGTCTACGAACATCGACTATTATTTACATCGACTACGAGTACTTGTCAAAAATCAAGTTTTAAGACGCCTACTGTTGCAACGTCACTGTAATGCGTTCATCTAATATACGCAAAGCTTCCGGCTAGGAATGCAATATGAGTAACGTTTTGTTTACGAAAGAATAAGTTGTTCATTTACACAACTATACCTGAAGATCCAGTCTAACAAGACATCGGTTTATTCAACGATTGTCTTTTGATGGAGGTAGCATGATGGTGTGGGAAAATATCACAAATAATAGAAGACAACTGGCGACCGTTAATGAGAATAGAAATTTTTCCCATAAACAAAATTTTCCATGACATAATTTCATATTCCACTAACAGCGACTTCGGTGTCTAGCTTTCATAAACCCAAAGAGTGGTCAAATCTGTTATTGACTGTTAATTTTAATCTTCAGTAGACTGGCCATTAGTAAAAAAATATTCCATTAAAGAACTGATTATACGGTTGATAAATGTCATTATAAAATAACAAAGAATATAAACAATTATAAATACATTTTACGAAATTAAGTTCAGTTTATATCCTTAGATTTTTGTGTGTAATTCTCCAGGAAGCAGAGTAATTATAACTTTTTTGCCCGTATATTACACTGAATTACATTAAAGTATTATATTTTATAGATAGCTTGCACTTTTGTATGTTGTGATTATGTGTCATGACAAACTGCCAAACTGTGAAATATATTTTGCACTAGGGCAGAATATTAATGTTAGCACTGGAAAAATGAATTAAAGAAAACTTCGTCAGTTCTAGCAGGAGAAAGTCAAGACTAGCAGGAGAAAGTCGAGACTTTCCGTGGTAATGCTCCAGAAATAAAAAGCCAATAAATAAAGAAAGAAATGTTTAAAAAAATTAAAACTAAATCATAGGGATTGCTCCCGTCCTGGTGGCACGTTTTTTCACCATTGACTTTTTCTTTGGTGTCCGAGGAGGTAATTTTATCAAAAGAATTCATACTAAACACACTGCATGTATATGATTTGGTTCTAATTGTGCTTTATTCTTACAATTAGATGCCAATTCAAATTGCGAACCTCAGTTTCCCATCTGTTTTTCTAAAACAATGCTGTAGGTTTGATCTTTCTTTATTGATTAAAAGGCAGTCGATGTCGCAAATACCACTGTCAACAGTATAAAAAGCAACGATATTACCGTCCAAGTATTGAAACTAATGGCAGTCCGTCCTTTCCTTTCTTTACACATTTCCCCATTTTGACATGGACCGGTGTCGCATAATATAGATACCACAGATGTAACATTCAGAGTCTTTCCATTAAACGTATTGGAAGCAGAGCAAATATAATTTCCAGAATTGTTGATCTGAAGATTTTTCAATAGCAATGAAGACCCGTTTCTGTTCAAGTGTATAGTTTGTTCCTCATCGCTAGCGTTCGTGGATAGGAAGGTCCATCTGTACACTGGCGATGGATTACTGATGGTAAAACAGTCTAGTTTTACATCATCCCCAACAGAATACACCGATGACGATGGTGTGATCGTAACCACGGGCTTTTTTGGACCATCTAATACATAAAATATACAAGTTTTCATAAATGGGTGAATTAAAAAAAAATGACCACCAAACTGAAATTTTTTGGAAAAATTCAACTACTTATCACATATTTTTCACTTATATCATCATGTTGCACATGCATTCTAGTTTAAAATCCTGAAGTGGCAATAGAATAGACAATTGGATTAAAAAGTTTCAGAATTTTTATTAGTAAAATTTATTTTGGAAATAGAAAATATTATTATACCTTAAAAGACTTTCTAAAATACATAATCACAAGAACTTATAGTTTTTTATGCTTCAAAATGGTAAAAGGGGTATAAATGATTAAATCTAGACCTTGATTGAGTATCTTCTCTTGTATATGTGACAAAAAATTGGCTTTTTGATTGTTATTTTATATTATTTTTTCAATTCTGGTTTGAAAAGTTTTAATATGAAAAAAATATGAAGCAATAAAATTCTCCAAAAATCACTTTTTTGTCCGTTTAAGTCAATTCTTTAAATCTAAGCCAAAACAGAATTTTTATATACGAGTTCTCTTACAAAAAATACTAGATTTTGAAGTGACCCTATGTTACATTATTGTGTTGCACTCCTGACATCTGATATGTATTTTATTTAACATTGTTTTAAAAATTATAACACACAATTATCCATTCTTACTTTGTAAATCAATTTGTCCTTTTGATATTTTTCATCGTTTACGGCAGGTTTTTCATTTTTTGAGAACCTTAAAACATGATTATTTGCAAAGTATAAAATATATAAATTGTATTTAAAAATACATGTGAAATGAAAACTTTTCCCTGAATTGACTGTAAAATTTCTGTAATTTGTTGATAGACATAGTATTTTGAACATCAAATAGTATCAACCATTTTTTTTCAACTTATTTTTAGTAAAGATAGTTAAAGGTGCTTAGACACAGATTTGAAGTTAATATTTACTCAAATTTTCTGTATAATTTCATGACTTGTATGTTGCTATAGCGTTTCATACGAAAATTCGATAAAAATCTTATTTTATCTGGAAGTTATTGAAACTTCGATTTTCTGGACGCGTTTGATAGACACATCCTTGCACTTTCACAAATTTTAACTTTATCTTTATTACTTTAGAAAAGTAGCAATTCTGTTGTTTATTAATGAAAAATATTAAAACTATAATGCAGAAAATTCAGAGTAGAAATGTAGAAAGCAAAATCCTCTCACCGGTATTGTCAGTCCGTGCTCAGTGGTGTGTGCAGAGTTTAACAATTGAACACACCCGGTGAAACGTTAACATAAACAACAACAGAGCTCGTGCCCTGTTTACAAAAACAGTTTACGTTTCACTGGTGTATTCAATTTGTTAAACTCTGTACACAACTACACAACACTGAGCACGGGCTGACAATACTTAAGTGAGTGGGTTTTGTTTTCGCACATTTTTACTCTGAATTGTCTGGATTATAGATGTAATATTATTCATTAATACACAACAAAATTGCTACTTTTCTTAAGTATTAGGATAAAGTTAAAAATTGTGAAAGTGCAAGGATGTGTTAATCAAACGCCTCCCGAAATTCGTAGTTTCAATAATTTCCAGATTAAATAAGTTTTTAATTTTATTTTCGTGTGAAATTCTATAGCAACTTATAAGTTTTGATGTTATACAGAAAATTTGAGAAAATATAAACTTCAAATCTGTGTCTATGCACCTTTAAAAAGCATTGGTAATTATAAAGCAGTTTTGTTGCACTCCTGACTGCAGTAAAATTTAAAATTAAAACCACAGAACACAAAAATTCATAAAGTGTTGGCACCATCAAGTGGTAATGAAATTGTGCAATATTTATAGTCCAATACTTCATAATTAAAACAGATGAAAGTATTTAAAATTCGCATTTTATCTGGAATTATTCCCTATTTATGCCAAAAAACTAGCTTAAATGTATATTTAGGAGATAAAATATATTTAAATAGCATATTTTCCTTTAGAGGACAAACACAGTTACCCACCAGAAAAATTCTACTCATCATTTTTTCTTTATTTTTATTCTTATTGGATGATTTGTAATTCTAACATATTTGTTGCACTCCTGACGAAAAGCATTGGGGCCTTTAAAGTAGAATTGTGAAGTGAAAATTACATAAGAACTTGTTCTGTTGTTTCAGTGAAGTTGAGACATAGAAATCTATTTTAATTGCCTGTAATTTTAGTGTGGATTGATAAATATGCGTTTGGTCATTTTTTTTTTAATTCACCCATATACCGATTAATTCAGCTATTTTAAGATAAACCAAATGCCGGGAAATTCAGTTATTTTAAAATAACCATTTAGCAATATGACTTAATGGTAGTTTATGTAATCATTCTGTTACGATTTTTTTAGAGATTTTTTTTACTCTTTACACACTATTAGTAAAATTTAAGGTCATAACATACTACAAATTCGGAAAAGGTGTCTACTTCCTCGAGTTTGGATTTTAATTTATTCGTTACTGATTAAATTTTATCTATTTTGGCGGATTTCATTTTTCTGCATTGAATTTCCATATAGACACCAAAATGTAGATTTGTAATGAATGAAAAAATGGGGTTGATTTTGATAGGTAAATTTTAATATGATTTTGTCTGTTAGCAATAATAAAGCCTGTATAAACTGTTTAAAATTTTTTTTTTGACTTTTTTAGCATTCTTCATTCTTGAACATGATAAATTCGTATCTTATTTCTCTATTTCTAATTAAAACTAAAGCACACACACACACACACGGAATTAATAGTAGCATAAATTCAGATATAATAATCTCAGAATTATTATTTTTTCAACCGAGGAAGGCTACTAAGAAATAATGTATAGTGACGTCTCTAAACGAGTGAAAATTCTTGAATGGGACGTACAACACCATCAAACAAAATCGATAATTTAAGCAGGGGGTATAGTCTTGGCAAAAAAAACAACAACAAAAAAAAAAAAAAAAAAAAAAAAAAAAAAAAAACAAAAAACAGTTCTACCAATATATATGTACCCTGTAAACTAAGGAACGCTGTTTTTCTCTGTAGGAATTATTGGAATTAATACAAGTATAAGGTAAAATCATCGACCAATGTGGAAGAGATTTTACACGACACGATTAAACATGACAAGACACAGTCACTACAGGAAAATACATCTCTCGCTCTCTCTCTAGAGAATTTTAAAAAAAAAAATGGAACGTAAATAAAGCCTCTGTTTCTTAACAGTTCTTCAATATTGTCCAAATTTCAATAATTGCGAAAATTAAACGACAAATGTACATAATACTGGGATACGAAAAAACTGTTTTATACCCGCAATTAAAAGAAAGTATGTTGCAGTTTGCAGTATAATTTTAAAGGATGAAGATGCTACTTTCCGACTTCTTCAACTTTACAATGCATTTAGTCAACTAATCAATGCTATGATACTTACACAAAACTGAGATTGTCTTTGAGTCTTTGTTTGGTGCTGGTTGCGGAGTAAGGCTATTCTGTGATAAGCATTTGAAAAAAGCGCCATTGTCATCTCTGGAAACACTGTACGTTAAGCTTACGTTAAGAAAATTAGTACAATTCTCTGTCTTAATAACAACATTGTTTTTAAAATTTGAAGAGTATATCAATTCTTTTTCAGTTGAATTCCTTGGAACTTTCCAAATTTTAATACTCCCAGGTGGATTTCCGACACCAGCGCTGCATATGAAACGTATGGATTGATTTTCCTCAAGTTCATTGGAGTGTTCTACGATAAATTCGTCTGGTACAGTTGCTTCAGCTGTTTGACTAACAAAATTAAAAAAAAAAAAGATAATTAAGATAGTACGTTTGTATACTGCTATTAAAAGGATTTTGAATGGCGATCCACACACTGGTAACTAAAATTGACTTTAAAAAAAAGAAATTAACCAGTATCTAACAAAAGATAAAAGAGAAATCAAATGGAATTAACAGAAAAATTCAAGACAGGTCCAAAGTCTATGAATTTTAGTGTAATACCTTTAAGCGAAAGAACCTTCCCGATTCCGAAAGACTGTGAAAATAAATCTGGGAAACATTAATCATGTTCTCTAATTGAATCTAGTCAGATTTAAACATTGTTTTCTTGACTTTATGTCCCAGCCAGTTAAATATTTGTATGTGTTTTATATTTTGTCTGTTTTCGTCATTTATTTGATTAAATGGCATTTTCACTCATATAACGTTGTTTCTCTTTTTTTATAATATATATATATTCGATTTAGCAAAAAACGAGCTGCGAATTGCCAGTTTTTGATTTGAGTTGAACACAGCAAAATTTGTGGATATAAACAATAACAACTGATAACGCCTTTGTACAATACATGTTTGACTCTTTTTCCAAAAGAAAATATCAATCAACATTAAAGATTTATCATTTCCAAACCGTATTTTGTCTGATTTGAAATATTTTTCAGAGTCTACGGAAATTTACAATGTAAATTACGGGAATTTATAATTTGTAAATTTTAGTCATTGCTGTAATATTGAATCAAGAATATTGATTGATCTTTATTTGAAGTGGTAGGCATTTACTTAATAAAAAAAATATCCGTAGACTTTAAATTGCCTAGCTGAACTCGATAATTCTTTCAAGGCAGATACTCTGAACAAAAGTAATCAATTGATATCTTGCCTAGTTTGAAAGCTATGATATATGTAACTATGTATTTTGAAAAAAAAAATACAAAAACTGATGGCGTTGGTACTGTGGGAAAAACTACTTTAATAATACCCTTTTAAATTAATCCTGTGAAAAAATAATCCTACCTGAGATCTATGTATCTTAATTTCATTAATAATCAATTGACTAATAGTTTGTTTCTTACATCCAATTTGAGAATTTTTCACTCATATAGAGGCCATAAGCTATCGATGAAGGTCCACAAATCTTGACCTACCCTAACAAAAAAATACTATAGTTAACTATAGTTAACGATAGTGATAACTTTGACGCTATGAAAACTATAGTTAACTATATTGATAACTTTGACACTTTGATTTACTATAGTGATCATTATAACACTATAGTGATAACTATTAAAACTTTGATTTACTAAAGTGATCACCATGAAAATTTTGATTTACTATGGTGAAAATTTTGATTTACTATAGTGATCACTTTGAAAACTTTGATTTACTATAGTGATCACTATGAAATTATCGTGATCACTTTGATTCACTATAGTGATACATTTGACACTTTCATTTACTATAGTTAACTATAGTAAACTATAGTTCACTATAGTAGTTTTTGTTAGGGTATGCTTGGTGCCTACGGCCACAGCAGTGAAGCTTTGCCGTACCAACGCTTACTTGACACGGGACCTTTACATTTGTCATGTTCTTTATTTTGTATTCCTTTCATCCTGTAAATAAGTAAATTCAAAATTTAAAACATGACATGTCACATTGCTCTTAAGATTACCTTGGAATTTGACCGATGTTTGGTTTTGTTCATGTTCGATAGCATCATTTACATAATACTCTATCCAACATTGGTACAATCCTTCATCTCTACAGACAGCATTATTTAGAACCAATGTAGCTCTTGTGAGGTTTTCCTGTGGTGCTATAAGGTGTGCTCTGTTTTCTAGCGATTCCTTGAAGTCACGTTGAATACTTGGGTCTGGTCCGCCAGGAATCGAAAAATAAGCAACATCCACATAACCATTAGGACTTTGTTTTTGCCATTTGATTTTTCTATCTGAAATTTCCTCATTGTCCTCTCTAGAGTATCTACAAGGAAGTGTTATGTTTGTGTTCCTTTGTAACTTTACTCTAACTTCCAGTGGTGTCGATATTTTGAGCAAGCAAGCACCTAATATAAAATTAGATTTATCCTGCAGTCAATCACTCAAAAGATCCAAAATGTGAATCTATCGGAACATTCATTTTAATATGCAAATGAAAAGATAGAGCTTCCTTAAATAACACAATATGCATGCTCAATATATAAATTGTGGACGTGGATTTTTTTTTTTTTTTGGAATCACAAGATCGATTAAGATTTATTTTATAAAATGAAGCCAATTAATATCAAAGAAAAGGGATAATTATGTTACTAAATATGTAATTATACTAAGATAAATTCATTTAGTTCTGTATATTGTTCAATTATATATTTAAATATTTGTTTTAGGAAGGAAATCGTGAGAAAAGTGTATATAAAAAAAATTATATTATTTGACAAACACTTAGGAAATTTTGTTTTGAAAATCAGTAACACCATTTGAGTAAGAGAGGTGAAATCATGGATCGTTGAATAAAAGTGTACTGGATATTTTGACATCCCATGCATAAATGAAATACGAAAAGGATTAAAATAAAACCCTACCATTTGCCAGAAGAAGGATCAGAATAATAAGTTTTGTCATCTTTTGGGGGGTATCCAGATCGCTCAATCAGCACCTTTCTGTAGCTAATCAATATATATATATATATATATATATATATATATATATATATATATATATATATATATATATATATATATATATATATAATATAATATAATATAATATAATATATATATATATATATATATATATATAATATAATATAATATAATATAATATAATATAATATAATATAATATAATATAATATAATATAATGAAATTTTATTATTTTTATAGAGTATCCCACTAAACATATCTATTTCACTTGTGCTAGCAACACTGGGTATTTCAAGGAACACATGTGTTTTCTTGTAACATTAATATGATTTATTTAGAATGATCATGTTAGTATATAATTTCTATGTGATAATAAGATATCATGTCTAAGGATAACTAGCTTTAACTGGCTTAATTTTTTTTTTGGAAAAAAACAAAAACAAAAAACGGATGTCTCACGATTTCGCTCTGACCAACAAAATAGAAGAACTGGGTACGTTAAGTATAACAGAGCGGCCCTGTCTCCAAATTTGATTTCAGTTTTTTTACAAACATTCCTACGATGTGTCTTTTCAAAATCATTTTATTTTTTTTTAATTATCACAAACCGTTTTTCCATCAGAGAACTCGAAATATGGGGATTTTTCTTTATAAATTACAAATTTTGACGTGATAACGTCATCACGGCGTTACTGATTTTAACGTTACGTGAAAAGAATTCTGTAAATTCTCTGAACCGGAAACTATTTACTTTAACCTGCCTTATGTTCCAGAAAACAATTTTGAACTTTTTTTTTTCAATTCATCGTAATGTATCTTTGATAGCTGGAAGGAGTAAAATAATTTAAAGGAAATATAATTTTATTACAAACGATTTCATCAGACAAGTAATGAAGCTTGATTCATCCATACAAACGAGACAAGGTAGTACTTCTTTTAAAATTGTGCTTGTATCAAATTTATAATTTTTTTTTATGTAAAAATGTCCTAATGATTTCTTCAATCATTTTCCGCATTGTCTATGAAGTTACATTAGAATTTTTAAAGATACATGAATCAGTATTAAAAAGAAAATTGGAACGACCCATATAAAGTTGTCAAAATTGGATTTTTGGCAATGAAAAAGCCATCAACATCACTCCCCTTTTCCATTTTAACATATGGCAGCGCTATTAATTTCGTATTTTCTTCTCTCTCTCTCTTTTTTTTTTTTTTTTTTTTTGGATAAACGTATAAATTACTCACTATTACGGGGTTACGAGGTGTCTTAAACTGCGTTAAAAAATTTTCTCTGATGTTAGGATTTCTTTTATAGATCGTTATTTATTCATTCCAGTGGGTCCGCTTTACTGCACTGTTCATGTAAAATACCCTAACTAGGAACAATCCCCAATATACTTACACACAATCACTTTCTATGTTAAAACCAAAAGAGGAGACCGGTTATAAGAGTCCTGATTGATGAGGACATTCCAAGTTTTTTCTTTGTTTAGCGTCCATCCTAACCTATCTTCCTATCCGAGAAAACACACAAACCGAAAGGGGTAAAACGCAGCATTTTCAGAACAGTTCTAGAATTTCTTATTATCATTTGAGACCTCTCCTCGCCATAAAACTTAGTTAAACTACTAGTTTATTGAAATAAAAAAAATTAATACACCACTTAAAAAAGAGAGATGTCAATCCCAAAAGAGTAAAATGCATTTCAGAAATTCGTATTTGTTGATTTTGAGTTAACTTTGTGTTTGCGTTTCAAAGCTTTGTATTTGTCAATTTTAATTTGTGTTGTTTTTAATTTCATAACCTCAAAACCAATTCGTCCGCGTTCACTGCACATTAAAAAAAAGATTGGAATGGCCTTATCATAACTTGCGTTACAGACCTTGAAAAATTTTGCTTCAAATAAAACCCGTGAATCTCCGAAGGCTAAAAAAAAGGTGTGCGATTTGTTTAGATCAATTTTTCGATGAACAAAATATTTCATATAGCCAATGCTAATAATTTACTTTTAGAGACAAACACATTACTTTGCATGTACATACTCATTACTTGATTCACAAAATCGAAAATTATATGCCCTAATCTGCGTAGTGAATTCGACAGGAAATGCACACGAATTCTCGGGAAGGGATTCAGAAGCCTGTAGTACATTCTAACGGGCATAATTCCAAAACTAAAAGTTATAAGAATAAGGATATAATATTATATGTAGGATTTGCGTATAGAGTTTATCCGCATCAGCTATGAAAATATGCGCATGTCATCTTCAAAGCAATGCAGCATGAAACAGCAGACGCTTGCATTGATATCGATCAGTAAAAGATCGATCAACGGTCACAGTCCAGTGGGTAGCCAAAGGAAATTGGAAAGGGATGTATTTAGTTTTAAATCAAATTCTTGATATATATTTTTTTTAATTGGTACTCATTACAGTACAGTACATGTATAATTTGATTATCAGTAACCCCCCCCCCCCCATTCTATTTACATAGAGACAAAATACAAATAATTGAAATGCAGAATAACAGAACACTCGCATAGAAGAATCAAAATTCACTTTCACGTCCCTTTTTATAAGCTACACAGAGTTTTTATTTCTAGTTTAGTTTTCAAATTATACGAAATCTTATGTTATTGCAGCCCGGGGGACCGGGCTGCTCTATACATATAAGTTTAAGTGTTGGTATATGGGGATTGAGGTGGGAGAAGTTATTCAGAATTAAAGGTTTTCTAAACATTAAAAAGATTGTTAATCAGAATGTTCTTTCCCTTTATAAATTACGAGATACACAATATATTTACTTCCATAAAGTGAATCTGTAAAAATATATATGTTTTTCATATTTAATATATAAAGTTGCTTATCATTTACTATCGAAAAAACGACAGGTCCCTTTTTTTAGAACATCGAGTTTTACTTATCGCATAAAAACGTAAAAACGTATTTTACACAGTTCGTGTTTTATAATCTTAAAGTGAAAGACATTTTTGAAATTAAATAGGTGATGCATGTGTCTGGTTTCAAATTATATTTTATGTAGCCAACATTTTCTTGAGGAATTGATAAAGTTTAAAAGGGTATCGTTTTTGTTCGATTTTCATCCGACTATAAGTTTTCAAAATATCCTCTACTATCGTCTCCATCATTTAGACGCATGCCTTTTTCACACATATCGAAGCGGTTTGATGATCAAGACTCATTTCCATTGTTTACTTTATTTATTTCCCGGGCGACAATTGATGGTTACATCAATGTTTTCTTGTTTTGTTACTTGTGGGAACAATACGCAAAACACACCACAGTGCTTCTTTATATAGTTATCCTTGCCATTCCCGGATTATATCACATGCTTGATTATGTTTCTTTTTCATGTAAGTGTCTGATAAAAAAAATCTTTAAAAATATAACCTAACAAACTGCTGACACGAAATGCAAGACGATACATCACGTCATCTACTAGGACAAAAACTGCATTAAAATAGATAAAGATTTTCTTTAGAACTCCTCCCTATGTTTACATGTTACACAGCCGTAGGTAAGATACATGTATTTGATATAATCATTTCGGTGACAATGATAATTTTATCACTTCCTTTGGATACATTAACTCTCTGAGGCATTTCCTTGTGCATTTGTCCTTGTAGTAACGATAAAATACTCTTAATTTGTTGTTTTTTTTCTGGAACGGATTATCATCACAGACGGACGTTGAATCTTTAAAATTAAGCGATAATGTGCACCAGAGTTTTCACAGAGGTGATATTGGACAGGACGCTCCTCCAGCCCCGATGAACATCTATTGGAATACTAAACATATTTCCTATGAAATATATTACTATTATTTTATGGATAATCTGGATAAAATCCTTTTAAAAATACTGGCTTACTTCAAGATTAACAATAGTGTACATGTAGTTAATATGTACATTCGTTTTTTATACAGATAAATATCTATAGAGTAATCTTTTTTTTTTCTTTTTTTTTTCATTTCAAGACTTGGAATGCCTTAAAATGTATTAGGAAAACAATTTCTGAAAAAAAAATTAACGAGTTAAACCATCGATTATGGAGCGGAAAGGGGGTGTCTTAATTGTCCACAAGTAATGCAAGATCGTGTTTGTATTTCTTACAGAACTGCATGGGAACAGATAATTTTTATTTATAGACAATAAAAAAGGTTGATTGTATCATGTTTCACTTAAATTTTCATAGAAAATACCGAAAGCGTACACCACTGTATACGTTTTTTAAGCCTTATAAACTTGGTCAACATAATTATCTAAAATTCCTTGTAAATTATAAATTAAACCCAATTTTACTTGAAAACACTGATGTCAATATTCCGATCAGCATGATAAATGTATATATAATTAATAAGTGCATGTAAATACATGTAAGAACTTTTCCATTCCCAGCTGCTGACCTTCAATAAGTAAATGTAGGCC